ACTATTGATGATGTTATAAATTATAACAATCACATTGGAAGACAATTTGCCATTATCTAGTAAAATTGAAGATATGCATACCTTCTGACCTCTTGATACTTCAGGCCCATCGGTATCAAGAGTATTCATAGTGTCATTGTTTTTAATTGTGAAAAATCAGAAGCACATAACTGTCAAGCTATAAAATATGTAAATATAGGATGACACATTTATATATTGTAACAGTCTGAGCAATAAAATAAGTAACAGTAACATTCAATGTGAATGAATTTTGCAAACATAATATTGATTTCTGTCTCATTTTTCTAAATCTCCCTAGAATTTAACAGAAAAATAAGACAGAAAAGAAAACCAGCAGATTGTGGGATTTCCAATCATGTAAAAATAAAAACATATGACAAAGATAACACAGACACTGGAAGAGAGGAAATGAAAGTCCTGTTGTAAGGATCTCATGTGGCTCAGGATGTGGCATAACACTGCTTGTAGATAGCTTGTGGTTAGTTAAGAATGTGTATTATAATGATGACCCTCTCCATTTGGCGTGAACATACTTTATATACAGAGTTACAAAAAAATGTGCTGTGAATGGATAATTATGAATGTAATGCACTTCACTATTGTCATCTATGTAAGAAATAAATAAAAAATTAAATAATAATAATAATAATGTGTATTATAAACCCTAAAACAACACCACAAAGAGTGAAAGAGGTTCCTCTGAGTTTCTCCTAGTTTCCTCCTTTGGGTCCCTGGAAATGGCTCCCCTCTGGGAATCTTCTCAGGCTCCTCCCCTGGAACCACAACTATAATTGCCCATTCCTCTCTTCCTCAGCCTCATGGATCAGTGCCTTGGAGCTGGGCGCCAACCTCAGTCAAGTCTTACCTCTTCAGGTGTGAAACCAAACCAGGCTGCAACCCAGACAGAGACCACTACAGACTGCCACAGTGAGAAGAAAAGGAATTTGAAGGCAGGTAAACCTGGGATTAGAACTGAACACCACATTCTTAAAATTCTTAAAGTACCACTGACAAACTGAAGTTCATATCCCAGCCCTATCATTTAATGCCTACGGTACTTTAAGAACTTTAAGAACATTACTTCCCTAAACCTCAGTAACCACATCTATACACTGGGTTAATAAATAGTATTCATCTCTTAAGATGCTGTGAGTAAAGAGATATCACATGGAAGACACTTGAAACCATGTCTGGCATGTAGTAAATACTCAATAAAAGCTAGCCCTTAGCCAGGTACAGTGGCGCACACCTGTAATCCCAGGGGCTTGGGAGGATAAGGCAGGAGGATCATGAGTTCAAAGCCAGCCTCAGCAAAAGCGAGGCACTAAGCAACTCAGTGAGATTCTGTCTGTAAATAAAATACAAAATAGGGCTGGGATGTGGCTCAGTGGTCGAGTCCCCTGAGTACAATCCCCAGTACTTCCCCTGGACCCTGAAAAAAAAAAAAAAAGCTAGCTCTTAATATTGTTTTTTAGATTAAAAATACTTGCAGCCTGCCCAATGCTGTTTTGGGGGGGGGGTGCACAAGAGGTGAAGAGGGAAGAGTACTAGAAGATTGAGGCTTGATTCTTCTCAGTAGGTGAGACTAAGAAAATCATTTGAAATCTCTGGGCTTCAAAGAGATGCTCAAAGTTGCAAATGAGAAAGTTTAGTAAGATCCCATGGTACATTTAATGATTCTTTCAACACATCACTTCTGAGCAGTCTATTTTGCCGTCAGCTCTGTGCTAGGCACTGGGGCAGAGATGAACAAGACATGGTCTCCTGGCTTAGAAATGCTTTCAGTCTGGTAAGGAGACAGGCAAGCAAGCAATGATTAAAGTATGCAGAACACCTTCCAGGGGCTCCACTTTAAAGGTGAGGAGAAAAATCGAAATCTAGAGGCTCACAGGAAGTTAAGGAAGAGTTCATTATCTCCAAAGACAGAAATTTGAACTTTTTCATAAGCTGAGGGGAAAGAAAAGTGAATTAGAAGATATCCTGAGGACAGAGAGAAGAGACATCTCTTCTGGAACTGAAGGAAGAGGGATGCTCATAGTAGCCAAACAATGTGGGAGGGCAGAGAAATTGGAGGAGTGGCTGACAGTGGCTTTGATTTTTTTTAATATCTTTATTTTATTTATTTATTTTTATGTGATGCTGAGGATCAAGCCCAGGGCCTCACATGTGCTAAGCGAATGCTCTACTGCTGAGCCACAATCCCAGCCCAGTGGCTTTGATTTTTATGGTGGAGAAGGTGTGCCTCTTTCTACAGAAATCACATGATGTCTGGCATCTTAACTTCAGCTCTCCTACCTGTCCACTCTTATGCTACTCAGAACATTAGGCTTTATAGAGTAATTCAGCTGCATTGGTCTTCCGTCTCCACGAGTCTGTAAATTCCTTTACCTTGAAGCCTCCATAGCAACCAAATCTCTCTTCCCCTGGCTTCCAGTTCCTTTTTGCTCTTGGTTCTCACTCTACCTCCCTTCCCTTTTTCTTAGTTTCTTTCATGGATGTCTGTTATTCTGTCTGCCCCTTAGGATTCTGTTTCATGTCCCCTGTAAAACAACGATCTCTGCATTTTCATCTCCAGCCTTAACCTTTCGTCTAAGCTCTCCCCTCTCATCTGCAACAATTCTCAGGTTTTGGCAGCTCCAACATAGTTATCATAGCTTAAAAAAATTGTGGAATCATTGTTGATTCCTCTATTTCTCTCTGCTGCCAATTGGTTCTCATCTGAAGAATTTAACTCTAGTAGCCTCACTTCCTCTTTCTTAAGAGCTTCATTAATCAGTTAACCCATCTCCCCATCTCCAACAGTCTTTTTGCATCTCTTCTGCTCCTTCTTTACAGCATTCTTATTCTATATTCCCTTTACTGGGAGTGCTTTGGGGCCCCATGTCAAAGCAGCTCCTTAAGGAATCTACTAGGGGAATCCCAAGACACAAAACAGGAGAGCAAATTACGTTTCATACAACAGAGACCGTGTAATCTTGTCCAAGTTAAGAGATTCATGGACAGCCTGAGTCAGTTTCTTTCTGACTCAGAAAGGATGAAAACCCTCTGGTCACATTTGAGGAGGAAGAGTATGGGACCCTGAGCATCTTCTGGGTTGCATTTTCTCCTCATCTTTTTACCCTAACAGGTACCACCTCTAACCTCACTCTTCATTTCCACTCTCCTCCATTGAATTCTTTATAAACCTTGGCTACAAGGGTTTTTACCACCTCCCTACAAGGGTTGTCTGGCCCTCACCCAACCTCAACAACAGTACATTTCCCAAAGTCTGTGTTGTGCTGTCTAAGGCAATGCCCGAGGATTTTTCAGAAAGACATTCCAGGGATGGCTTCGGAATTTCAAATCCATTTCTTTTTGAGTTCTCCCTGCAGTATGAATTTACAGATACACCTCTTTTTCTTCTGAGTATTCAGAGGATGGGTGTAGTAATACCCACACAAACACTGATTTCACTAAGACTTTAAACCTATAAAAAGGAACAAAAACATCTCCTAACTCCTCCACAATTTATGAAGCTTTGATCTTCTGGGTAGGTAGTATTAGTAATAGCAAAATGATGGCTGCCTAGTTTTCCTGAATGTTTCCTGGGACCCCAGACTTCAGAACTAAAACCCTGAAAGTTCCAGGCAAACCAGGTTGAGTTGGTCATCCTCTAGTTGTTAAAAGAATAGAGTCTGGAGAGTTATTGCCTGGGTTCACATCCAGCTCTGCCATTTACTAGTTGTGTCACTTAATCTCTCTGGGTCTCAGTTTCCTCACTGGTAAAATGAACAAGATATTTTTTGAAGTCAATATATATATAAGCATTTAGAGAACTTCCTGATATGTGTTTCAATGAGGGTTTACTATTCTTTGTATATCGTGTGTGAGTTCTTTTTTTTTATTAACCTTTATTTTATTTATTTATTTTTATGTGGTGCTGAGGATTGAACCCAGGGCCTCACACATGCTAGGCAAGCGCTCTACCACTGAGCCACAACCCCAGCCCAATGTTAGTTCTTTTTATGATCACATCTATCACCAACACCACCAAATTGTGCTTCTTAAGAAAAAGTGAGCAGGCACATTACTGAATAGTGTATCTTAGTATGTATTCCCTTAATTATACAAAAATCTGGTCAATGCATTGAAATTACTGCTCTAAAACCCAATTACATGTTTAGCTTTCTCCATCTTTTACCTATTCTCGTTCACTAACAAGCAAAGCTCCAGCAAATTCTGTGTCTCTATGGTGGCTCTGAGCTTGGAGCTCCATGAGCACTCCAGAGGCATGTTGCTACTCCTGCCCTCCACAAACTCACCTTCTGAAAGAAAAGTAAAATCATCCTTTATAACACTGGGGACAAGGCCAGGCAGGAGGTGCTGTAGCCATCTAGAGGGGCTGAGGAAATGACCAGTCCCTATAGCCTGATGCTGACTAGAAGTCTTTCTTGGCCACTTCCTTCTATCCTGGGCATAGTATGCCCAAGAGCACAAGTGAGGCCATTATTCCTGGCTGGTTCCTCCCTCCCCAGTGATCCCTGCCTAGTCCTCCCAGTCTCCTTAGATCACAGATTCTTCATATTCTTTCTCTTCCTCCTAATAAAGAGTTTCTTTTCTTCAACCTTTCTTGTTTTACCTCTAGCCATCACTATTTTCTCCCCATCATATACCACATCTACTTTTCCTCCTAACCTTTTATTCAACAATCAAATGCCTCAAACATCACAGATAGACAAGTATCTTGTGAATTTACATTTCACACACAGAAGACCAAGAGCTCCTTGAGGACAAGGAATGCCTTGTCCATCTGTGTAGTTTCCACAACACCTGGTACTATACCTGCCTGTAGCCCAAAGAAATAGATGCACATACATAAAGAGAGAGCTTTTCATCACAAAATCCTCAGGTCCTAAAATAGAATTAGACTTTCTTCCATTATCATTTTGTTCTAACAGTCTCTATTCCACACTCCTGGTACCAGCCCAGGGCTGAAACTAATGGATGAGGATGGAAATACCAGCATCTTCAACATCTCCTACACCAACTTCTTCCTGGTAGGTTTCCCCAGACTGCAGGAGTGGCGGCCCCTCCTGGTCCTGCCTTTTACCTTCCTCTATGTGACCATCATCTCTACCAATGCCCTGGTCATCCACACTGTGGTGGCCCAGTGGAATCTGCATCAGCCCATGTATGTGCTCATTGCTCTGCTCCTGGCTATCAACATTTGTGCTGCCACAGCTGTGATGCCTAAAATGTTGGAAGGCTTTGTGCACTATGCTAACCCCATATCACTCCATGGCTGCCTGAGCCAGATGTTCTTTATCTACTTCACCCTCCTTCTGGACTACAATCTCCTGCTAGCCATGGCCCTGGACCGCTACATGGCTATCTGCTACCCACTCCGCTATACTGACCTGATGACCTCCCACCTGCTGGGTGTGCTGGCCATTTTCGCCCTGACACGGAGCCTGGGAGTGGCAGTGCCCTTGGTGGTGCTAACTGCAAGAGCTCAATTCTGCCGGACGGCAGTGATTCAACACTTCACATGTGAGTACATCGCACTGCTGAGGATAGCTTGTGGAGACTTGACCTTCAACAACCGGTTGGGGTTGGCTATGCGGTTGGTCACCGTGATCTTTGATCTTGTTCTGCTGGGAACCTCCTACACCCGCATCATCTATGTTGCTCTTCGGATCTCTTCTAGGGGAGCCCGGGCCAAGGCCTTGCACACATGTGGCTCCCACTTACTGGTCATCCTCACCATCTACCTCTCTGGTCTCTCCACTTCCATTGTATTCCGAGTGGCCAAGACTGTGTCTCAGGATGTTCAAAATCTACTTAGTGCTATATACTTGCTGCTCCCAGGAGTCTTGAATCCTCTCATTTATGGGATGAGGACTAAGGAGATCCGGCAACATATAGAAAAGATGCTCTGTGGAAAAGAATCACCTCAGGAGGCTGGAGAGAAGCCAAAGAGGTTGCAGAACACCAGAGTGGAGAGGGAATTGCCAGGGTAAGAGAACTTCATCAACTTGGGGAATTGGGACTGTGACCTCAGAAACAAAGAGATAAACAGGCAGTACTCAGAGACAAACTGGAATTTCCTGAGCAGATTTCAGATTCAACATTGGCCCATTGTTGGTAAACCGTGGCTTGTTAAATTCTTAGAATATTTTTGTTGTTGATGATGATGATGATGATGTTCTTTTTAGTTACACATGACAGTAGAGTCTATTTTGATATGTTTACACAAGCATGGAATATATCTTATTCTATTTAGGATCCCAGTACTGTGGAAGTACACAACATTGAGATCACTGTTGTGTAAACAGGAAAGTTATGTCAGATTCATTCTACTGCCTTTCCTATTCCTATTCCCATCCAACAGCTTGTACCTATTTGTCCTTCTTAGTTTATTTATCTGTCCTCTTTCCCCCAATTTTAAGAAAGCTCCAATTAATATCTGGATGCATTTAACTTCACTAGAAGGCATATAAAGCAAGTAAAACAGATCATGACCAACCTGAACACCCAGTCTGTAGCAAATAAATAAGCCAAGCCCTTCCCTGGGGCCATCTCTCTTAAATACAGCCTAAGGCCTGACATGAAGTTCCTTGAGACCAAATAAATCAGTCAATCTTGAGGTTTACAGTCTAAGAACTAGGGTTCTAAGTCCAAACAGTCCCAAATACAGGTGAGGACCTTGACTGAAGTCCCAAATCTGACATGTGTGCCTGACCCCAGGATGTGCAGTTTAGCCTACATAAACAGTTCAGTTCATGCCCAGGGTCCCCAGTCCAAAAGATACTCAGACCAGATCTCCTCTTGGTCCCAGTCTGATACATAGACCAGAGCAGACTCTACCCTGGGGAGCTCAAACTGAGCCAAACATCCAAGTCAAAACTCTTAAGGCCTCAAGGATGACCTGAGGCATACAGACAAGTTCCTTCCCTAAAGCCCAAGTGTAACCCCAGGACCAGACTAGATCGAGACCTGAGTCTGACCCAGGTCAGGCCATTCTCCCCATGGCAGCCAGTGTGATCTATCTAAAAGTTACTCGGTAGCTCCTCAGGAGATTAAAACAAGAGGCTCACTTGATCTCAGGAGTTCAGGGCCAGGATGAGCAACATAATGACACCTTATCTCAAAATTGAAAATAAAAATAATATAACTCCCTTGCTTAAAAGACTTCCATGGCTCCCTGTCATCCATCTATTGAAGAGTCTCCTTCAGGGATGTCCCAAAAAGAGGCTGTGGTGCCTATACATTGCACAGAGCCATCTGTGAACCAGGCATTTTTTTTTTCTTCCTCTCTCAAATGATCATTAGTGAATTCCCCATGAGGCCATAAGTATAGTCTGGGAGAGAGAAGGCATATAGTAGGCAGGAGCTGGTAACATGAGTATTTCAGCCACCTCATGTAACTAACTTGTGCTTTCAGTGACTGCTTGAGCCTTGATCTTGTATGTACCACTTGTATATACCACTATCATTGGGCATGATTCGCATTTCAGACACATAGTAATTTGGTCACCTACAATTAAGTGTCTAGTCTCTACTTTGGCTCAGTAGCTAGTCAAAAGCTGTTTCTCAAAAGGAGAATACAGCCAGATGTGGTGGCACATTATGTAATTCTAGGCTGAGGAAGGATACCAGGTTCCAGGCCAGCTTTAACAACTTAGTGAAATCCTGTCTCAAAATAAAAAATTAAAAGGGCTGGGAATATAGCTCAGTGATAAAGTGCCCCCTGTGTTTAATCCTCAATACCAAAACAAAAACAAAAAAAGAAAAGTAGATATCCAGAGGATGGCAGAGCTTTGCTCAAAAATCCTAAGGGCTTTAGCTGTGATTTACCTGTAGAAGCCCAAATCCCCAAGCAACATCTCCATCTGCCACTGTCACTTCAATCATCATCAGATCTGCTGAATCATATGGCCCAAATAACAGAGCAGCTTGCACAACAGACCAGACCTGTGGCAGAGCCCTCTCCTGTTCTGGGCCTCATTCAAAACTAGAAGCTTTTCAGGTCACTTGGTAAACAACCTAGAGTAGTTCAGTGAAAGGAGGATATTTTTGCCTCAAAATTTCAAGGAGGCTCACCAGGTGTTATATCTCTTTCTTGGTTGTGGGAAGGATCATGTGCAACAATTTATTCTTTATCTTAGAAGCAATATCTCAACATGCTTTATTCCACTAGAAAATTTGCTGATGCAGAAAGCCCCTGAACTCTGGTGAGATTTATTCCCTATCCTTTTGAAATGTAACTCTCTTACCAATAAGTCTGGAGTTGTCACTCACAAGTTCCAATCAACATGTCATCAATACATTGGACTGGTGCAATGTCTTATGGATGGCAAAGCTGATCAAAATCCTGTGTTAACTAAATTATGAGATAGGGCTAGTGAGTTGATAATACTCTTAAAGTGGGGCAATGAAGGTATGTTGCTAGCTTTGCAAGCTAAAAGCAAGATGGTGGTTTTACTAAGGGGCATGGAGAAAAAAGCATTTGCCCAATCAATAGCTGCATACCAGGTTACCGAAGGATATGATGATTTGTTCAAGCATAGAAACCATATCTACTTGGAATCACACCCCAAATAAGCTTATGATAATGAGGTAAGAGAAGAAATAAAGATAAGTAGAAAGGAGACCAAAGGAAAGAAAATGACTAGTTGTAAATCTAAAAGCCCTATAATCAGACTTAACTTACCAGATCTGTTTTTTCCTCAGGGTCTGTCATACCCAAATTTCTGAGACAACTACAATTTAACTCATTTAAATTCACTCATCTATGAAAACTGCCTCATTTTGATTAAAGTATTAAGTGCAGTTAGCTCACACAATTATTCTTAGATTAGGAAAACCAAAGGGAGATGTATTTTCAGAAACCTATATTATCGGTACATTCTAAAAGTTATCTAGAAAGAAGACAATGCCAACCTTAAGATCTTGGAAGACCAGCCCACTATAAACATCTTTTGATTTATGATCAAAGAACTGAGTTCACCAGACTGATGGTGTTCCCACTTAACTTCCTATACTCATCCTTTAGAAGATGAGCTGAGGATCCCCAAAGCACTCCTTGCTCACATTCTGCTCTGAGAATGTGTATCTTCACTTTTCACTAATAAAACTCTTCTTCTTTGTTAAAACCTGATGTGTCCTTAAGTTTCTTTCTGTGGCATGTCAAGAGCCTGGAAGGTCCAAGTAGTCTCTCTGCCTCTGCAGAGACCTCCTCAAACTCCCTGACGTGACAATAATCCATTGTCATTTTCCAAGATGATTTCTATGCAGCCTAAGGGGGTGAGTTGGATGAGGACGGGGTGGGAATCACCTCTCCTGAATAGTTTATGTCAGTGGTGCCTCTATTCTCTGCCATCCTTCCAGGAATGCAACAATTTTGGTTTACTCTTTTCTTAGTGGCTTACACTTGGCTTTTCGCACTATTACACTTGGCTTTTCTCACTCAGATCAGAGAACCAACATGGGGATTCTGTCAGTTGCTGAGCAGGTCTATTCCAGTTCTGCATTCCAGAAGTGGAGAAATAACACAGGATGGTTTGGGGGACCTCACCAGACCCATTGTGAGGTCAAGAGTTTCCTCAAAGCAAACTTAAGATCCTTAGATAGGGTGGCAACAACAACAAAATATCATCAGAATATAGGGCTTCAGTGTTCCTAACTTCATCAGGATTTCCCCATATGTTGCCATTTCAATTTTTAGGATTCCATTCACTCCCAAACAATGTCCTCACTTTGACAGTAAATACCCTATCAGGTTAGGAAATAAACTTTGCAATTCAACCACTCACAGGGTAAGATTCTGAGTCTGATTTTCAGCAATCTCAACTCTGCAGCTACAGAAAATAGGTTTCTTTCGGGGAAGACTTAACCATTTTTCAGGTCACTCATGCACCAACTGAGCTGGAACTTCAAAACCCGGAGCTCATCCTTTTCCTATTTTTTTCCAGTAAAATTTGAAGCAAACAGCTAATCATCTTATACTAATTTGAGAAAAATGTTTGAAGGTCACATATATGGTCACTCAAGGCCTTGCCTTTAAGTATCCAATGGTTGTACTTTGTTTATCTCTATTGTCACATCATACCACGGACTATCAGTGCTCTCTTTACTTCTTTAAATAAAATTTTTAGGTCCTTTAAATCAAATCAGATTAAAGAATCAATTTCAGAAACCCCAGAACCAATTCAGAAAACTCATTCTTAAGAGTCTGTTCCTCCAGAACAATTCTAAATGACTGGTTCATCTAAAATCAATCTGTATTAATCAGGGCTCTTCAAAGAAACAACCCAAAGAATATGTGTGTATATCTATATCTATCTATATGTCTACATAGATAAAGATTCAGAAAGAGGCTGATGCTGCGGCTTGAGTCCAAAGACAGTCCAGAGGCACAAGTCCTTCTTCTGGGACCTCAGTCTTTTGTTTTTCTTAAGGTCTCCAACTGATTAATAAGTAAGTCACCTACATAATGAAGGGTATTCAGCTTTACTCAAACTCTTATCAATTTAAAGGTTAATCTCATCTAAAAAATATTTTCACAGCAACAATTAAGCTGGTGTTTGATCAATTATCTGGGTACTATGCTCTAGCCAGTTGACAAAATTAACCACCACAGATCCCTAGGTGCAGATCCTAAGCCAACCCAAGTGCAGAAGAAGTGCCCCAGCACAGGGCCATTTTGCAAAGACTGAGAGCTCTAGAAGTTCATGAAGTCTTTATCCAAACACTAACTGAACATATGCTAAAGAAATAGACCTCTATATACATGATAATGAATGATCCCTGCAAAAATAGTTCATAAGAGTTTCAAAAACAGAATGCTACAATCTTCAACATCAACAAACAAAATACCACAATAGCAAACCCTGGAGGAGGAGAATCTGATTTCCAGAATTACTTCATTATAATTGTCACATTCTCAATTTTCAACAATACACAAGGCATACAAAGAAGCAGAAAAACATTCAAGGAATAAGATCAATTGACAGAAACT